GGGGGTGCAGAGGAGGGGTGGGGCTCCCTGGCCGCGGCCGCCCCGCCCCCCCGCGCGCCAGCCAGCCGGAAACCCACCGGGTTCCTCTAACCAGAGGGCACTCTCGGCCTTCAGCCCAGCACCTGGGACCCCGCGCCCGAGTGGCATCAACCGGATGTAGCTTTCCGAAGGCCCGTGGGGCGAGGAGGGATGGGCGCCCTCTTTTGTTTCACCCGCCTTTTCCTGAACGGGCACCTTGGGAGTTGCCAGTGGCGCCAACTTCTCGAGGAAGAGAGGTATGCCCTTCATTATTTTGGAGGGTGAGGTTTCTCAGTTTGATCCGCAGACCACCTGGATTGCTGATTTGCTGATTCCTGGGCTTTAATCCAGATGCACTAAATCGGATTCTCTGGGGGCCGGACCCCAGCCATCTATGCTGTAAACAATTCTCTAGGTTTCAGGTGAATCTAGAGCACATTTAGTCTGGGAAACATTGGAATAAATATTTTTGTGGTCCACAAGTTAAGCATAACAAAAGCATTTTACTCCCAGGCAATAGAGACTGGAGTGTCCTTTTATTTTATTTTATTTTATTTTTAAGATTTTACTTATTTGACAGAGAGAGAGAACACAAGCAGGGGGAGTGGGAAAGGGAGAAGCAGGATTCCCACTGAGCAGGTGCCGGGCTGGATACCAAGACCCTGGGATCATGACCTGATCCGAAGGCAGACGCTTAACGACTGAGCCACCCAGGCGTCCCTGGAGTGTCGTTTTAGAATATCTGGAACCAGCAACTGCACGAGAAAGGAGTAAGTGGGGTTTGAATTTGTGTGGTGATAGGCCACCTTCTGCCAGGCTATGACCCGGCCCATCACCCACAGGCTGAGAGCCCTCACTGTAGCCCAAGGAATGAAGGTCCATGTCACAGAGAAGCTGGACCCAGCACACTGAAGGGGAATTGGGACTAACTACACTCAAGTTAAAATGGTATCCACTTTTTTTTTTTTAAGCCTTTTTTTTCCCCCTATTTAGAAAGTAATATGGGGAAGGGAAAGTTCTTCCAGTACAACACCATGTAATAAACGTGGAAGGAACAAGAGAGTTAGGAAAAGCAACATTTTGCAACTATCATAGTGATAATTGTTGTGTCATTAAACATCAGTAAATGGGTGAAAATTTGATGGGGAAAAGCTTATTTACACAGTCTTAGAATATGTCCCCACAGATTGCTATTGATTACAAAGGGAGAAGAGTAACTTTATAGGGGGCCAGACACCACCATACCCAAGTGATCAAAGTCGAATATTGCCAGGAATGAGACAGTTGTCACTGTGGGCCCTGTGAGGTGAAGCAGTAAGAAGTACACAATTTCACTTATGTAGTATTCCTGCTGGAAATCCGTAATCTGAATCTAATCACGAGGGAACACACAGAAAAACCCACTCTGAGGAGAATTTTTTTTTTTTAAGATTTTATTTATTTATTAGAGAGAGAGAGAGAGAGAGCACATGAGAGGGGGGAGGGTCAGAGGGAGAAGCAGACTCCCCGCTGAGCAGGGAGCCTGATGCGGGACTCCATCCAGGGACTCCAGGATCATGACCTGAGCCGAAGGCAGTCGCTTAACCAACTGAGCCACCCAGGCGCCCTCTGAGGAGAATTTTACAAACAACTAGCCCATACTTTTTAAAAACTATCTATGTCTTGGGGCGCCTGGGTGGCTCAGTCGGTTGGGTGTCCAACTCTTGGTTTGTGCTCAGGTCATGCTCTCATGGGTCATGGGATTGAGCCCAGCCACTGGCTCCATGCTCAGCCAGGGAGTCTGCTTGAAGATTCTCTTCCTCCGCCCCTCCCTGCCCTCTTTCAAACAAATAAATTGTTTAAAAAAGTAAAATAAAAGCTATCAATGTCTTGAAATTAAAGCAAGGCAAAGGAACTATTCCAGGTTAAAGAATAGTGAAGAAATATGAGAAATAAAGACAAGGCTTGATCCTGGATGGGATTCTGGATTGGGGAAAATTCACTATAAAGGATAGTTGGTGAAATTTGAAGTGTGGCCTATATAATACGTTGTTACTACATTGATGCAAAATTTCCTGACCGTGATTATTGTACTGTGGTTATGTAAGAGAATATCCTTGTTCTTTTTTTTTTTTTAATTTTTATTTATTTATTTGAGAGACAGCAAGAACAAGGAGGAGAGGGAGAAGCAGATTCCCCACTGAGCTGGGAGCCTGATGCAGGACTCGATCCCAGGACTCTGGGATAATGACCTGAGCTGAAGGCAGACGCTTAACTGACTGAGCCACCCAGGCGCCCTGAGAATATTCTTGTTCTTAAGAGATACACACTGAAATATTGAGTAAAGAGTCTGAGTCTGAGAAACTTGGATGCATTTCCCACCACAGGCACTGTCATGGTCACTTCACCTCTCTGTCAGTTTCTTCATCTGTGAAACGGGAAGGCTTACAAAAAGGAGGTAGGTGTGTCAAATAAAGAGAATATCTTCAAGTGGAGGAAATGAGTTGGTAGGATAATGAGGTGGTAGATAGGTAAATAGAGGAGTGCAGATTGGCTGGACTGTAGGCAGTTTGAAAGGGGGGATGGGAAATGGGTGGTGTCCTGGAAGGCCTTGCTTGTAACCAGGCTAAGGTGATTAGACATTACGCCAGAGGCCATGAGGAGTTGCTCAAGATTTCTTAGGGGTGTCTTTCCCTGGAAATACATGAAATGAACCGGAGATGGTGAAATTGACTCTATTAGGAGGCAAAGGTGGCAGAATGGAGAACAGATAGGAAGGGAAGGTTTGTGCAGGCATGAGGAAGTGAAGACAGAATGGAGGGAGGGTACAATAGTCAAGGATGACAACTTTTGAACCAGGAAATATGGGAGAAAAATGCCATAAAACAACATAAAGATGAAAGGAGGTATAGATCTATATATCCCTGCTAGTTTTAAAGGAGGAAAGAAGTTTTTACCACCTAATTACATAAGCCCATGCAGTATGTTGAAACTAAAGATTTATAAGGTATTGTTTGGGCTAAAATATTTTATGTTCGTATAAGTGTTTTTACCTTTGCTTCTGACATATATGGGAAGGGGAACAGGTAGCCATATCCCAAGCACTTGAGGATTTCAGACTGTTTCTAAGTTTTCTTCAAGCAAAAAAATTATCGGCTACAGTAAAAATTTAGTCAATGTAGTTAGTAAGAGGTAGTTTCAGGATGGTATTAAATGCTGAAAATGGCAACTCGCTGGCTCAATCAGAAGAGCATGCAACTCTTGATTTCCAGGTCTTGAGTTTGAGTCCCACGTTTGGTGTACAGATTATAATAAATAATTCTAATAATATATAATAAATAAACTTAAAAAAATGCTGAGAATGAAAATCAATGAGTTATTCAAGTGTGACAGTCTTGTGACATCATTATAAATTAGCATGATTTGTGTGAAACAGCAGAGCCCCAAGCCATTATTTCATCTCTTAATAATTTCACTGTTGAATTTTTCTTTTTTTAATTTTATTTTAAAGACTTTTATTTATTTATCAGAGAAAGAGAGAGAGCACACAAGCAGGGGAAGCAGCAGGTGGAGGGAGAAGCAGGTTCCCTGCTAAGCAAGGAGCCTGATGCAGGACTCGATCCCAGGACCCTGGGATCATGACCTGAGCCGAAGGCAGACGCTTAACCAACTGGGCCACCCAGGCGTCCCTGAATTTTTCTTGGAACATTAGACAAACTTAGGTGATTTCTACAAAGACACTGTAAAATATTTGTCAAAATAATAAACCAATAATTAATACATATTGAACTAAGCACTGTGCTTAAGAGCTTTATTAGGTGCAGTACTAAGAACTTTGTTATCCCCGCCTCAACACAAGAAATCAATACCATTATTATCTCCATTTTATAGATGAAGAGACTGAGGTTCAAAGAGGATAAATAACTTGTACAAGATCACACAGCTGTGAATGGCAGAGCTGGAATTCAAATCCTAGAGTCCTAACTCTGAAGTCTATTCTCTTAACCATTACTGGAAAGAAGCCATTATAGATAGTGTCCTATGGTAAAAATAAAAGATCGAAGATTTTTTTAAAAAGATTTTATTTATTTATTTGAAACAGAGAGCACAAGTAGGGGGAGCAGCAGAGGGAGAGGGAGAAGCAGGCTCCCCACTGAGCAGGGAGCCTGCTGTGGGGCTCGATCCCAGGACCCCAGGATCATGACCTGAGCTGAAGGCAGATGCCCAACCGACTGAGCCACCCCAGTCCAAGATTTTTTAAAATGATATTTTGTGTAGGAGAAAATGTCAAATATCATTTTTTATCTCTTCATTTATCTATTTTTTAAAAACTTGAGAATTTACATACATAAAATTTACCTACTGTATGTATAATTGAGTGATTTTTTAAATTTTAATTGCAGTATGATTAACATACAGTGTTATATTAATTTCAGTGATGTATCACATATATATATTTCAGGTATATATATATGTATAGTGATTCAACAATTCTATACATTACTCAGTGCTCATCATAATCTTTTCTTTTTTTTTTAAGATTTTATTTATTTATTCGACAGAGAGAGACAGCGAGAGAGGGAACCCAAGCAGGGGGAGAGGGAGAGGGAGAAGCAGGTTTCCCGCAGAGCAGGGAGCCCGATGTGGGGCTCGATTCCAGGACCCTGAGATCATGACCTGAGCCGAAGGCAGATGCTTAATGACTGAGCCACCCAGGCACCCCTCATCATAATCTTAATACCCATCACCTATTTCACCCATCCCTCCACCTACCTCCCCTCTTTTAACCATGTTTGTTCTCTATAGTTAAGAGTCTAGTTTTTTTGTTTTTCTCTTTTTTCCTTTGTTCGTTCGTTCTGTTTCTTAAATTCCACAAATCATATGGCATTTGTCTTTCTCTGAATGGCTTATTTCATTTAGCATTATACCCTTTAAAAAAAAAAAGTAGCCTCTTTCTCCCTCTGCATTCTTTCTATAGTGTAATTTGTAGGAATTGTATTCATGACTCATCAGAGACTAATTTATATCACAACTTTGTGTTAGTTGAGGTTACAAATCAAGAGCTATTATAGTAGAAGGAAGGTGGTAATAGTACTTCTATAAACAATCTGAGAAGTCTGTACAGGAAATAGTTGTATACAAAGAACCTTGCATAAACAGGTTGCTCAATGAAATGTATTTCTCATGATGCATATGTAAAGATAATTGTAGTCATTTATGAGTATAAAATAATAGGAAAGGAATAAAACAAATATTCAGTTATGCAATTTCAGTGTTTGATATTGAGGAAA